TACAAAAAAAAAAAAAAAAAGAAAAAGAAGAAGTAGTAGTAGTAGTAGTAGTGAAAGTCAAAAATAATACTTTGAGGGCTGGGGCTGTAGTTCAGTGGTTCAGTGGTAGAGCACTTTCCTCACAGGTGTGAGGCCCTGGGTTCAATCCTTAGCACCAAGTAAAAATAAATAAATGAATAAATGAAGATATTGTGTCCATTTAACAAACCAAAAATAAATTTTTTAAATAATACTTCATACTAGTCTTTCTCATGGGTGATCCTATAAAATATTACTTTAATTTTGATGAATGTGTAATTAATATTAATAGTGATTATTAAAAAATTATGTAATATTCCAGGTATGCAAGTAAATAATTTTTTAATGAAGTTAAACCAAAAATTAGAAAAATAATGGCAATGACATTGTTTAAAATATCAGTATTCAGGCTAGTCACTGTGACACATACCTATAAGATAGCTAGCTTTCTATGGGAAGACTGCTTGAGCCCAGGAGTTTAATGCCAGACTGGGCCACATTGTAAGAACCCCCTCCCCTCCAGAAAAGAAAGAATGTGTCAATTTATTACATTCATAAAGTTCTTTACAGTTTTTCAGATCTCTTTGCTAGATGTCATTGTATTTAACTGCCATGGTATTTATGATGTAAATAGGGCTGAGGCTATTTGCTTTCTTACAGAATTAGTAAACAAGTCTCACCTAAGATGTTGATGGTAGAGCTGGGCCTGGAATCCAGATCTCTGTCACACTAGTGTTCCACTACACATCCAGACAACAGTTCAGTGATTTGACAAAGTACCTTCAACTCGAAATAATTAAGTGAATGCTGGATTCATAGCTGTTGATTCCCCAGGCTTGTTTTAGTGCAGTTAAGTTTAAGGGCAGAAAACTGGCGAAAAGTTTCCCATTCCTGCCTGAATTATTTGAGGTCATATGCTCATTGATATAGGCAAGATGTCTAGTTTGTAAAATGGAAATAACCTCTTCTTCTTTTGATCACCCAAGAAGTTTGATTGTGGGCTGAGTAGTAATTCATAGGGAAGAGAAAATAGAAAGTGTAAGACATGCGAAATGCTGTGAACAGGCGCTATGACCCAATATCACCAGGTAATTCTCAGTGTGATGTTTATTACTACTTCATTCATATAAGTAGAAGCCAAGCCATTTTTATATAACATCTTGTCTAGTTCCTTAATTGTTCTTCAAAAAACTTACTATGCTTTCTCCTGTAACTCTTGTGCTAAATGAATTTACTGTTATTAACACTAACGTGCAGTCAGAGCAAATGTAGAACTGAGTAAATGTAGTATAGTGTTAAGAGTATTTCTGTGATTCTCTATTTGTAAACCTTTTCTCTTCAACTTTTTGTTTTTGCTGGGTTTTTGCCTCCAGTTTTTTTGTTTGATGGTTGTTGGCTTTTTGTTGTTGTTGTTGTTTTGTGGTACTGGGGATTGAACCCAGGGGCACTTAACCACTGAGCCACATCCCCAGCCCTTTTTATATTTTATTGGATACAATGTGTCACTGAGTGCTTAGGGCCTCACTGAATTGCCCAGTCTGTCTTTGAACTCACAATATTCCTGCCTCAGCCTCCTGAGCTGCTGGGATTACAAGCATTGCCTTTTCTCCAGTTTTAACTTGAAGTTTTCAAATCCACAGGAAAGTTGAGAAAATACTTGAACTAGATTACCAAATCGTTAAGATTTTTGCCACACTTGCTTTAATTTTCTCTCTGTGTATGCTTGCCTAATCATTTGAAAATAAGTTGCAGCAATCATTACATCTTACCCCGTATACTTCAGCCTGCATCTCCTAAGATGCATCTCTCATGTAGCCAAGAACACCATTGTCATTTCTAAGAAAAGTAATAATTTCATAATCTTCATCACATTTCCCTCAATTCCTGTTGTCCCCAAAATCACTATTATAGTTTTTAAGTTCTAAACAAGATACATGCATTGCATGGGTTGTTAGGCCTCTTCAGTCTCCTTCAATCCCTTAGTCTCCTAATCTTATTTATACACACACACACACACACACACACACACACACACACACACATAATTAATTTATTTTAGTTGTAGATGGACACGGTACTTTAGATAATTTATTTATGTTTATGTGGTGTGAGGATAGAACCCAGTGACTCTCACATGCAAGGCAAGTACTCTACCACTGAGCTACAACTCCAGCCTTCCTAATCCCTTTTAATCTATAGCAGTCACCAGTTTTGTTTTGTTTTTTTTTAAAGAAGGAACAAGAATACTTTGCTGTATAGTATTAATCATGCCAAATGATTATACATATGATCAGGTTATCCACTATTCAGAGATGCTAAATTTAATTAGTAGTAGAAATTTGGGTCTCCCTCACACAAAGTCCAAATTTAATGTTGTAGGAGTTTTTTGAGGTTTTTTTTTTATTGTTTTGTTTTGTTTTTGATATTGGGGATTGAACCTAGGGGTGCTCTACCATTGAGATACATCCTCATCCCTTTTTATTTGAGATAGTCTCACTAAGKTGCTTAGAGTCTCTCCAGATTTCTTCTTTTTCTTTTTTAAAATTCTTATTAGTTATTGATGGACCTTTATTCATTTATTTGTTTATATGTGGTGCTAAGAATCGAACCCAGTGCCTCACACATGCTAGGCAAGTGCRCTACCACTGAGCCATAACCCCTCTCTCCAGATTTCTGAGGCTGACCTGAAACTTGGATCCAGCTGTAGTTTTTTCACTAACTATACAGCATTATTTTAAATTTTTAAAATATTTTTTAGTTGTAGGTAGACAAAATACCTTTATTTTATTTTATTAATATGTGGTGCTGAGGATCAATCCCAGGGCCTCACACGTTAGGCAAGCGCTCTACCGCTGAGCCACAACCCCAGCTCCACATTATTTTAATTTTTAAAAAATCTTATGTAAGAGCAGTAATTATTCTGGTTTAGAAATAATGGTGACTGTAAATTGCTGATGGGTAGTATTCATTCTGTCTTCCCCAAAGGCTGCTCTACCAACTTTTTCCTCCTACCTTCTTCTTTATGTAAAATGGAAATAACCTCTTTTTCCTTTGATCACCCAAGAATTTTGATTGTGGACTGAATTCATAGGGAAGAGAAATTAGAAAGTGTAAGACATATGAAATGCTAGGAAATTTTTGTGGTCTAGCTGCTAGTAAGCACCTAAAGCTAGAGATAGGTATAAGTAAACATTTATAGGCTGGGGTTGTAGCTCATTGATAGAGTACTTAATTAGTATGCAAAAGGTCCTGTGTTCAATCCCCGGAACTACAAAAATAATAACAATATTAAACATTTATGATCTAGGCATAGTGGCACACTCCTGTATAACCCCAGCTATTTGAGAGGCTGAGGCAGGAGATCACACAACTGAGAAACCATATCACAAAATAAACTTTTAAAAGGTTGAGGATGTAGCTCAACAGTAGATTATTGCCTGGCATGTGCAAGGCTCTGTGTTCAGTCCATAATACCACAACAAATCAATATATAAACATTTATGGAGGAAGAATAACAGTAAAATGAACATTTATTAATCCTTACCATGGGTCAAGACCCAGGCCAAGTACTTTTTATGGATTGGGCCAAGTACAGAAAGGTCAAGGACCTTGCCCAGGGACCAGCAGCAAGTAAGTGCTAGAGCTAGGGTTCAAACCCAAGGCTGATTAACTCTAGAACCCATTTTTTTTTTCCTGTGCTGTGCAGCCTTCATTATTGTGTACCAGGTATTGTACCTAACACTGTCTCATACATTTCTTATATAATTCTCACATCAACCTGTAAGAACAGTCTCAAACAGGGCATATGATATCTGAACCATTTATCCTATTTTGTGGTTCTCTCCCATGTTTCAGCCAAGGTCTTTAACAGCAGAGTGGTTTGTCCAGCGGGGTCCCTTTTCCCACTCCCCAGCACCCACATAAACAGGAATCATGTGCTGGAAATGAAACCAGGTGGCAGAAGCAGCYGCACAAGCAAGAGAAGCCTGATCGGGTCCACATTAACCAGATGACAGGAGTGAGAGCCTTCATTTACAGTTCGGGGACCATCAGTGTGAACTGGGATGACAGTGAACCTGAAATAAAGGTCGTTGAAATAAGACTGATTTTCTAAGGGAAAGTGTTTCCTTATTGTTTTTCCCTCTCACCAGAGAGGATGTGGCAGTCTTGTTATTCAAGTAACTTCAAACCAGTGGTCAAAACCATGAAGAAATTTCTGAAGGAAAGTGTGATTTTTCATAGTTTTTGGTGACCACTTTTAGTTTCCTTTTCAGATTTTTTTTTAAACATCATTACTGAGTCTGTATGACTATAGCATAATAAACAGAGGAGTACAATTTGTCCACGATGGTCAAGGGAGCAAAGTGATTTTATCATTAGAGGTCAGCTGTACAGTTATTTTAAATATGATAAAGTACTGTATGAATTTTTGCAATATGAAAGAATCTATGTTTAGGACAAATTTTTCTCATGGAAGTCCACAAATGCTAACTTAACCTTTGGTTAAGTTATTTCTTAGCATTTCCATCTATAAAAAGAAAGTAATATTACCTATTTCCTAGGATTTTTGTGAGGATTAATTTTACATACACATATGGGATGGGGTATATTTCATGATAGAGTGCTTGGCTAACATGTACAATGAAATCAGGCTTTGATCCCCAGCACACACACACACACACACACACACACACACACACACACACATAAAATGTAGGGAAGAGCATGACACAAAGTAGCTCTCAGTGTAGAAGTAATTATTATCATTATATCATTGAATTTAGTGTTCTCACATGATATGGGTCTGGGAATCTTCCCTGAATTAGGACACTTGGCCTGTTAACCCAGGAAAACAAACATTCTAGACACATGCCTGACTCTAGCCTAAGATTAGAGACATAATCTCCCTTAGTGACCCCTCTGGTGCTGGCAGGAGGTTCATACTGSCATGGTGCTTGTCACAATCTGTCTTTCTTTTTCAGGTGGTTAGCTCAACCAATGGAGAGCTGAATGTTGATGACCCCACAGGAGCGCACTCCAATGCACCAATCACAGCTCATGCCGAGGTGGAGGTAGTGGAGGAAGCTAAGTACGTTCATATGTCAAGGGGGTTCTTGAGTCATGGATTGGAAAATCTTTTCTGTCTCCTCCTCTCTGTGTACTGCTCATCTCAGACTTGGATTCTTCATGCTACTGTCCATAGCTTTCTTCCCTTGTTTTTTGCATGCTACCTTAAGGCTGCTGCTGCCCTTCTTTAGCTGTGATTTATGGGACAATAGTCAAATTTTTCTAGTCCACCTGGTGCAAAGGATATAATGAACTGTAAGAATTACATAGTAAGGGCTACAGCAGATAGTAGCCATGAGCCTCTGGGAGTCCTAGAGTTTCATACTTCCTATGAGGGGGGGGAAAAACCTGTTAAACCATGAACTGTGCTGAACAGCATTAAATTTTTGATTATTGGCCAACAACTGTGGGTGTTCAGTTCTGGAAAAGGGGTTTCAGGGCTCTCAAATGATTCTGGACTTGAGAGATTAAATAAATAAAGACAAGAAAAATAGTTTGCACCTGTGAGTGTTTTGGAAAGGAAGGGAAATGACCCTAATCCCAAGAAGGTGAGGCAGTTACCCTCATGCCTTTTTCTGCTTCTCTTGCATGTATATGTCTTGCTCTGCCCATATCACCAGTTCCTTGGTGCTATCTGCATGGTCTGTGTTTAAACTCTTAAATTCTGGGATGGAAGGTGAAATAATTGCTGATTCTGCTGCAAACGCAGCATTTTGCCACTTCTTTCCCTTTTTTCTGGGAGGGTTATGCCAGCAGACCATTTTTAGTAAGGAAACATACCTCCTATTCTCAGGAACTTTGGCCATGTTTGGGAACTCAATTTTTCTTCCATTCTCCTCAATAAATATTAAGGTATTCTTACCTTCTGGGTTTTAACCCTGGCAGCACTTTGGAGTCACCTAGGACATGATAGAAAATACAGATGCCTGAGTCTGGCCCTAGAGATTCTGATTTGTTTATTGGAATCTGGCCTGAGCATGAAAAAATTTAAAAGTTCATGTAGTTCTAATGTGCAACCAAGGTTAGGAACCATCAGGCATGGTCGGATCTTGAAACACAGCCATATCTATAACCACCTCTACCCCCACTCCTAGTTCACACTTGTGGCTGTTGCTTTTAGAATTTAATATTATACTTTGAATACAAAGATCAAATGGACTTTAGTCTTATGATATGCCCAATATAGATTTATTTTTTGAACCCATTCATCTCATTTCATTTTGGTAAACGTGTACAGTAATTGTGTATGTGAGTATGGTGTTTGTGTCTTGTGTGTAAGATAGAGGGCCATTCACATAGAGTTCAGTTTGGTGTATTCTGTTGTGGTAAAATCCAAATTCTAGAATATAAAGAGAGTTTAAAGTCTTCTCATGTAACAACAAAGACCACTGTGCATCTTTGCCACCAGTTCCAGGTTTGGGCCTTCTGAAAGGTGTAGAAGCCAGAAGAGGAGCCATTGTATTTGACCAGTCTTCCAACAGCTTATGGAATAGGGCATTTTGTTTGCTATTTCCCTGATGATTTTATGTGCTACCAATCCATCTTGTGTAGGGAACTGTCAGGGCCCAGCCATATGTTGTTATTCTTGGCCCTCTGGGGGTGGTGGGGCAGGGACCGGGTAGCCATGTTGTCTACTTGCTTGATCATTCTCCTGGGAAGAAGTCTCAGCTAGAGAAACATGAGGCGTCTTGAAAAACCCCTCATTGCACGCAACTGGGATGCCCTTTGTTCATGCAGCCTGTTTATTGGGTAAGGGGCGCTATTGCCTATATTAAGATTCATCTTGGGTATTGGGAGACTGTGTGAAATCTTTACTTCCAAGCTTTTGAATTTAGGTTCCTCATCCAACTTGTTTTCTGTGAAAAGATAGGATTTTGGTTTTTGTTCTGTGAGCAAAATGAACGTTTGGCTTTCTTTTTTCTGTTAGCTGCAGGACACATGTCCTTGTTTAAGTATGGTTGGAAGGGTGAGGAGGGCAAGCAGCTTTTCAGTTGATTTTTTGTTATATAAGTACACAGGCATTTCAAGTTATCTAGACTTCAGCTGTGACCTTATAAACCTGAACCTCATTTCTCCTGAGAATTAATAAGAGTAGATTTAGGCACTTCTCTGGTGGTTATGACCACAGCAGTGACCATCCTCCCTCTGGTTCATCTGATAAGATAAAGTAAGTGTCTCTTAAACCTTTTCTCTCTCTCTGGAGCAAGAGTTAACTGTTAGTTGCTTTGGTCAGGCATGTTGCGCTTGTAGAAAGCGAGGGACTTCTTTTTCCCTCGGTGTAAGAGAGGATAGCTCAACATTATGAGGAAGACCTCATGCGAGAACCAAATAGCTCAAGTGTGCCTGACTGAGTTGTTACAGGCAGGGTCATTTGCTCTTTCCCCTGCCACCTTCCTGAAAGTTGCTCAAGAAAGGCTATCCTGGGACTTCTACYAATTCTTTCTGTTTTGCCTTCCCCCTAAGATCCACTTCCCACCTTGATGCTTCTGTCAGGCTCCTGCCCCCTCAACTTTAATGTGGAAACAAAGTGGTCTACTCAGCCTACCTCAACAGGAAGAAACTAAACACAGACACATACTGCATGTTTGCATGGCTCACAGGGAGTCGCTTCCATCTCATCTTTGTGGACTAATATCTCTCTTTCTTTCTTTCTTCCTTTCTGTGTTTTTCTCTTTACATACTCTGTAGCTGCCTGAAAATGCTCAACCTGTGGTGAGTCCCTCTCTCTAGTCCACATGCAAGGGGAGCGGACCAGACTAGGCTGGGATTGGCAAAGCCAAACAAAATGCTTTAGGAAACATAAATGRCTTCCATATGCCTCCTGTGCCATAACCACCCAGACTGGGGAACTAGATCTACAAAGTAGGGGTGGGACAGGCCTACACCCAGAAATTAATGTGTTCCTTCTTTCTTTTTAAACCTACCTCATTTTTCTCTGCCACCTCTGCAAATAACATTCCACATTATCCAAAATTGTCTTTTTTTATTTTTGGCAGAGCAAATTTTCTCCCAAAATAATATGGCCAGGTATTATTAAAGGGAGAGAGACTGAGGTTAAAAAAAAAAGGTTAATATAGCAGTTGTTCAGGTATCAGTTGTTCCCTTGCCAACCACAAGGATTGATGTTGTTGCCAGATAATTTCATATTCTGCAATTGGATTTCTAACTTGGAAATTGGCCACTCTGGAAAAAAAGTATCTTTTTTCTTTAACTAATTCTTCCATCTGTAGAGTGGGAGTCTCAAAAAAGAACCCCTTAGGGAAAGATGGACATTTTATTGTTGTTGTTTTGGGGGTTATTTTGTTTGTTTTCTGTTCACTTTCTTTATTCCTATGAGAGTATAGTAGGCCAAAGGCTGACTCAGCTGATGGAAATATTGGAGCCTGTCACTTCTACTCCTAGAGAGGGCTTCTCGAATGCTTTCTTGGCAACAACAGGGGGTATATATGGAAATGGAACACCTAAAGGATTCATTATCGGTGACAAACATTCTTGCTGCAAGATAGGGAACCCCCTAGCTCTCTTCCTGGACAATGCTTGTGATCTTCCAGGTGCTCCTGAACTTGCTGGTCTATTGCAGTCTGGAATTGAAACTCTCCCACATTGCCTTCATGCATAGGGCCACATTCTACACCATGATAACAGCCTGCTGGACTCTGACTACCTCATTTTTATTTTCTTCAGTGATTGGGTTGGGCACTGGTTTCTGATCCCTAACTGTTCTAGACCAAATTGCCCACAGGGCTTTCCTAGGGATGGGAATGTATTAAAGATAACAGTTGGGTTTTATGGAGGTAGGATTTATATTCTTATGGTTTCAAAGAGCACATTTGGCCTATTCGTTTTGCGAATATGTGTCTGTGTAATCTGACATTGTTGTGGTCTATATTTTTCCTGTGAGATGTCAGTCACATGATCCTGGTTGAAAATTCTTGCAGTCTTGTTGTGCTCATCAAAACTTGTACTTGGGCTGGGCATGGTAGTGCATGCCTRTWCTCCCAGCAGCTTGGGAAGTTGAAGCAGGGGGGTTGCAAGTTCAAAGCCAGCCTCAGCAATTTAGCAAGGCATCAGGCAACTCAGCAAGACCCCGTCTCTAAGTAAAATATAAAATTGGGCTGGGGATGTGGCTTAATGGTTAAACAGCCCCTGGGTTCAATCCCTGATACCAAAAAGAAAAAACCTGTACTAAGAACTCTAAGTTAGAGTCTCAAGGTCTGCCTGGAGAGATAAGACATGATATTAGGTGAAATAACAAGGAATTCTCCAGTACACTTACATTATCATTCCTAGAAGGCTGAAGGGGCCAAGAAATCACTGTGAATGGTCAAGGAAGACTTCATGGKCATAGCAGAACTCAAGCCAAGTTTTAGAGGAAAGAAAGAATGTGCAGGTATGGCAGAGAAGAGGAACATAGCCGAGTAGCTGAAGAGAAAGCAGGACACAGYAAGAGAGTGATATGAAAAGGGTAGTTAATCAGAGAACTGCGGGAATATTGCCTGATGGCTCCTCAGGAGTCTTAGATCAGTTTTTGCTCTAGCATGTTAAGAACATCTTGTTATTCAAATAATCAAAGAATCAACTGGAAAGGAACCTAAGACACAGAGGTATTGATCACCTGGCCTGATTTTCTTCTGAAAATAACACACTGGTATGAAGTCACTCAGTGGACTTAGTCTGGAGTCTAGCCCAGTTTAATGGGTCCTATTGCTAGTCATTACTGCAGAAACCAAACAATTAAAGAGCAGGATGTAGGGCCTACTTCCTCTTGAGTGGAATTGTTAATAGCTTGTGTTACTGCTGAAGCTTTAACTGTAATAAAAGTAAAAATTAATCTAGGGCTCTAAATTTAAAATATTGCAGTTCCTCTGAAGGACAGCTCACAACACTTATCCACTCCAGCGATTGCACACTGCTCATCAGGTTATGGTACACCAGATATTAATTTGTTTGGTTTGCCTYGAAGGAGGTAAAAGAGAAGTCATTGTACAGTTTGAAGTGGACCAGTATTTCAAACATTTTTTAATTCCTTTTATTTATTTTTTATTTTTGTTTATTTATTTTATACTTGGAACTGAATCCAGGAGCACTTTACCAGTGAGCTATATCACCAGTCCTTTTTATTTTAAGATAGAGTCCCACTAAGTTGCTGAGGCTGGCCTTGAACTTGGGATCCTCCTGTATCACCTTCCTGAGTTGCTGGGATTATTAGGTGTGCGCCACCACTCTTGACAACTCCTTTTATTTAAAAACACAAAATCATCATTTTAGCATCCTCCAAAGAAAATAAGAATAGAAATTAACTTAAAAGTTAGTTGGGCTGGGGTTATGGTTCAGTAGTAGAGTGCTCACCTAGCATGTGCGAGGCCCTGGATTCGATCCTCAGCACCACCCACATACAAATAAATAAATGAAATAAAGGTTTTTTTAAAAAAGTTAGTAATACCTGTAAAAATCATGGTTCAAAAGGATCAGTAAGACTATTGAAATATTAGGGATCCCATGAGATTAACTTTGCCTCTTTAAATATTGCTGGGCATTCAATACACACACACACACACACACACAGAGAGAGAGAGAGAGAGAGAACAAGACCAGTTTTTTTCTTGAATTCTTCCTCAGGGTTTCCACTGAAGACTATCTTAAGCCATCAGAAGTGCTGATCATTTGTATTTAAAAGAATTTATTCTGTTCTCGAATCTTTGTGACACTTTGGTTAGTAATTATATTTGCACCCATTAATGGTACTTTTTTTTCCATAGGAAAATCTCTTTGCTATTTGTTATTTTTAGTTATACATAACATTAAAATGTTTTTGACATATTACACATACATGGAGTATAACTTAYTCAAATCAGGATCCCATTCTTGTTGTTAAACATGATGTAGAGTTATACTGGTCATGTATTCATATATGAAAATAGGAGAATTATGGTTTATTCTACTGTCCCATTAGTGGTATTTTAAAATGTCATTGTTATGCTCGAAGAAAATTTGTTAGGAAACTCTCCTTTCCAAAATTTGCAAGTTTGATTCATTCAGATATGCTTAAAGCACATCATTTTCTGTGTAAATATTTATTTCTGCCTTCTAAGGAACGTTCTCCAAGTTTGTTTTGTTTCATTTTGGTTTTGGTACCAGCGATTGAACCTAGATGTGCTTAATGCCTGAGCCACATCCCCAGTCCTTTATATTTTTTTTTAATTTTGAGACAGGGTCTCACTAAGTTACTCAGGGCCTTGCTAAGCTCCTGAGGCTGGCTTTGAACTTGAGATCCTTCTGCCTCAGCCTCCTGAGTTGCTGCGTCTCCCAAGTTTTTATTTATTTATTATATGGTGCTGAGGATTGAACCCAGTGTCTCATACATGCTAGACAAGCACTCTACCACTGAGCCACAACCCTGGCCCTCCAAGTTGTTAATAATTCCATCAGATGTAGTAATACCACAGAATATAACTAAAACAAGAGGTAATCTTAGTTAGTGTGGAGAATTTAGGGGTATGGGAAGTGAAAAGTAATTCTATATTTCCTTATCTATATTCTTGGCATTTATCCTAGAAGGATTATGCAAGAGACTTAAAGGTAGTTTTCTCAGAAAAGCTTTTCTTTCAAGGATCCAGCAAGTCTGAGCTACACTTCGAACTTCACTCCCCTCCATCATTTGGCATCATTTACTCATCCACTGCCTTCCTCCCCTCACATTCTCATTTCCCATGTGTCAGTTCCTTGTAGAGAGCATATCTTTTGCCACTAGCATTGCCAAAGCCCTCATCACCACACTCTGGATTGCCAAAGCAAGAGTGATGCTTCTTAAGCCAAGGCTGGAGTSAGGAAGGGATACTGAGGCTTAGGAAAGTGCCAGAAGTGTACCTGTTCCCCAGGAGATGTCATGAAGGGAGTAGGCCCCAACCTCTACCCTAAACAGGGTTAGTTCATAACTACATCTGACATAGCAGCAGCAGTCTCAGGAAGCTAAATAAGGAGTAACCTGCAGCCAGAGAACCTCCTGAGGATCAGCTCATGGGCTGAGACAGTGGTCTCCTCAGAATGAAAAGAGGGCTGTGCTGGCCTCAGGAGATAGGGGTTCACAGTTTTTGTTTAAGTCAGGGCTTCTCCTGCTTGYGCCAGGCATCTAGTGGGGACAGAAATGGGGGTTGAGAGAATCACGAAACCTTTTCTTGGTTGCAATATGAGACCTTCTCAGAGCTCCATACATTCTAAGGGATTTATTTGCATTAGTTTAGCTTTCTTGCCCACCAGCTAGTGAGTTGCATTAAATAATTTTCCCTCAATATCAAGGAGCAGAGAGTGCAGGCTAATTTTATGCAGCCTTGAGGACCCCCAGCCTCATTCTAGATAAAGATGAGGCATGTGGGTTGAGTTTTAGACTAGGAAAGACGCTGTCATTACCCTTCTTCCAAAAAAATCCATGTTTCAGCCCAGCCTGACCGGTAGCATTTGAATAGTTATGTTGGGCAGATTGAAATTAAACAACTATGTCATTTGGCTTTCCTGGCAGACACTGCCTGCTGCCTCCAGTGGGCGCACTGTAGATGGTGGGTGGCCTGTGGGTGGTGGGTACCAGAGAGGGAAACCCCACTCTGCAAGAAGCAGAAGCAGGCAGAGGTCTCCTGGAAACTGCAGACCACTAGCACTGATTTGCAATGTTCCTTGTGCTCCAGGTGCTGCTGTTTCTTTAAGAGGAAAAGGAAGAAGACTGCTCAGCGCCATAAGTGACCAGTGCCTCCTAGGAGTCCTCAGGCCCTGGGGACTCTTGACTTGATTGCACCTGCAGCTCCTGCCATTTCTCATTGGAAGGGACTCCCCTGTAGGGGAGGGTGGAGATCCAAACCAAAAAGAAGAAAACAGATGCCCCAGAAGGAGCCAGTGCGGGCAGCCAGGGCCCAGTGGGTCAGTTGCTGTCTCCGCCTGTCTGAGGCTCTGAGCAGGTCCCAGAGCTGCTGCTCCTCCACTGCTTGCCCTTGGGGCTACCTGGTTGACTCTCCTTCCCATTGTTTACAGTGAAGGTGTCATTCACAAAAACTCAAGGACTACTATTCTCTTCCCTCCCCTTCTACTTTACTCCTGGTTCTTGCCCCACCCTCAACCCTCTCCAGCATCAAAGCTAGTGAGCTAAATGCTGTGTCTGTAATAGGAGCTCAAGAGGCTGGGGGTGTGGCCAAGAAGGTAGCAGGAAGATGCAGCCTGGTCCCAGAAGATCTTCTCCATTTCCCAGGAGTGCCTGGCAGTATGGCTTCCTCTCCCTCTGAGCAGCCTACAACCCAGCTGGCCTTAGGGTTCAGGTTTCTTCTTCCCTCCCTCCTTTGAAGTTACACTGTAGGACACAAGCTGTGAGAAATCTGCAGTCTACTGTCCCCATGTGTTGGTGTTCTTAGCTTTTTTGACAAACAAATTCCTTTCTCCAGGCAGTAGCAGGACATGCAAATTGTTCTGAGCAAAGGAAAGAAAACTGACTTTATTGCACTTTTAGTTTTGTTTTAGTTTTTTTTTAACAAAAAAAAAAGAAAGAAAGAAAGAAAAGAAAACATGGCAGATGCATATTGTATCTGTTTTTTGAGGGGGTTTTGACTTTTTTTTCTGTTTTGAGGGGGATGGACCAGCGAAGCCATTCAGAGAAAATGTGGGTCCAGAGGACATTCTCAATGGAAACAGTTTGATCAGCAGCACCCAGAAGAGAAGCCAAACTCTGTGTCATTCTGAGTGAATACTCAGGTTGGCAAGAAAACATACTTGAATTTTATTCATCTTCTCAGCTGCTGAAGAATGTCCCTACCAGAGCCTCTTTACCTAATCAGCCTGCAGTTTGAAATCCTAGCTCTCCAGGATGGAATGAGCAGCAAGTCAGACCGTGACCAGGAGACAGTTCATCCCAGTGAAGGAGATGCTTAACAAAAAAATATCTGAAATGTCTGTTTCCTCCACTGCCAGGGACTTCCTATTATAGCCATGTGACTTTTTGGTGACAGGATTAGTGATTAAACAGCCACCTCTTTATTGCCACTATTGGACAAAAAGAAGACAGTGAACCTGCCTTCCAAATGCCAGAGAAGCCTCAGGATGTGGCATCATAGGGCCAGGAAAAGCAAATGATAGTGTGTCCTGTCTGCCCCAGTGGCTGAGTTATAGCATTTGGTCTGGACTGCCTTATCAGAAACCAAGCCCATGAAGTTCTTTTTGAGCAGGTCCATAGTAGCAGGCTTAGAACTCAGTGCATGGGGATGCAGTGAAAACGAGGGTAAGATTGTTTGGTGCTGGAAAATTCCAGGAAAAAGGGGCCTGAATGAAATGTCTAAAATTATATTCTCAATGGGATATAGACTCCTTCCAGATAAGATAGTCGAGCATATAAGCTTGTATTCCCAGTACACCCTCTACCTCCCACCTCCCACCATGATCTAGTCACGTGACTTATTACCAAAAAGCATCTAGGTTTCTCATCCTCTGTTTGAAAAGTTAATGTGTGAAGTTAATCTTCCCATGTTAGATTTTCATTCAAGTTTAGTGGCTTTTCAAATGACTCCTCTTCCCAAATGTGACAGAAGAGAAAGGGTGATACCAGGGAAAGTGGTCTTGATCTGGGAGTAAAGAGCTAACCGTGAAGAATAATGGCGAATGACTTGGTGTGGTGATTTGTGGTGCAAACCACAGAAATCTTCACCTCCTGGCTTGAGGTGTAGGGGCTGTTTTTTGGACTGGAATTGCGGGGATTCTGGTAGTTGGTATTTCCTGACAAGTCCCTTGATGTACCCCATGTGGAGCAGAGATAGCAGCATTCACATGAATCAGACTTACTGGGCTTCACCTCTTCCATTAGACCTTGGCTAAGGAAAAACATTTCACTGGCTTCAAACCTGCTTAATTTATGTAAAGATTGTAATCTCTCATTTCTTGAAAAGAAATGTTACTGTATATGAAACAGAGTGGCAGGGAGAGGCAGTGTCTATACCCATTTCCCACAAAGATTTTGAAGATTGGGGTATACTTCCTTGCCATTACCTAGCCCATCACTAAAATTTAGTCTCTCATTTGGTATTTGAGCAACTCTAACTTCCTGTACAGAAAATTTAACTTCTTCGCCCCTGTATAGAAATGCCTTACCTCTCAAGGGAGGGCAGGGGAAATAGTGGCAAAGCCTGGAGCATCTGGGCACACTGTATCCCACAAAGTGCCTCCCCCACCCCACTTCCACAAAACAGCTTGGCTGCAGGGCAGGCTGCCTTTACAGCTGGGTCTGTGGCTTTTTTTTGTCTTAAAATTTTTTATAGGCTAGCTCTTGAGGGGTTGAACCTGAGCAGTTGGCGGTGGGAGGGTGTTGTGGGGGGGGGTCCTTCCTGATGCACTGTTCTCACCCTCTAGCCCCCATAAAGCACTTAGATATTGGTTTCTGAAGAACCCCAGGTCCCTTTAGCATGCAGGGTAATGGTGATCCTTCCAAGGCTATGACACTCCAAGGTGGTCCCAGACCTGAGAGATTCTATTATTCCCTAAGAAAAACAAACCAAAACAAAAACTGAATAACCAAGAAGCAATTTGGCCATCAGTTCCAGCCTTGCTGGTTGCTGCAGTTTGGCTTTATGTCTCAGCCAGATCCTTAAAGGATAGTCACTCCTTCCCTATCTCCCACACCCTCCAAATCCACTTGTTCTAAATTTTTTTTTTTTTTTCTGGTTCTGGGGATTGAACCCAGGGCCTTATGCACGCATGCAAGGCAAGTACTCTACCAACTGAGCTATATTCCAAGCCCTTGTTCTGAAGTTTTTAACTTTTCTCCTTTTCACTCACAGCTATGATGCCAGAGGCCATTTTCTTTGGGATTGATGCAGTTTTTTCCCCCTTAAAGCTAACTGAACATCTGTTCATAAAAACGCATTTAAGAGTTATCAGCCAGGTGCAGTGGTGCACTTCTGTAATTGCAGCCACTTGGGAGGCTGAACCACGAGGATCACAGGTTCCTGGCCAGCCTGGGCAACTTAGACCCTGTCTCCAAAAGGCTGGGAGTTTACCTCAGTAGTTGGGTGCCCCTGAGTTCAGTCCCAGGAGTTCTCTCAAGCTCTCCTCAGACACTGTAGCCTGAGTGGATCAAGTCAATCAGGCAGGATTCCACTAAGTGTGCTCTACTTGTGACTGGACCAGGACTTGTTCCTGTGCAAGCTAATCATGTAAGGGGGAGTGAGTGTCCCAGCAGCCAGCATGCGTTCATGACTACCTTAATTAACATTCTTCTTGGGGTCTGAATGGTGTAAACAGGGTCTAGGAAGGTATAAATTGGGTGCCTAGGTTAGCCTTCCATTAAAATTGCATTTTACTTTGGAATGGGTGAGCTGCAGGAGACCAGAGAGATCCTGAGGTTTCTAACAGAAGTGTTAGTTTCCTGTTTATTTTCAGTGAACTCCAAGCACATAGAAATAGTCCCTGCTCATTGGCCAAATGGGGTTTCCATCAGCCCTAAAGGAATTTCCAACTTACTTCACTGGAAATGTATGCTGGTAGTGCTTTTTTCAGTGTTAGTAACAGCCTTTAATGCCAGAAATCTACAGTATGCTAAAAGTGGTTACTAATGAACTTCGCCTTAACTTTTTGTCAATGAAAAAGATATAATCCATTCCACCTCTCCATGAGCAAGCATGGCCTGCATTTCTCAAAAATAAGAAAAGGCATCCTAGAAAGCATCTCCTCAAAAGAACTTGATATTTCTTCTTAAGCATCTCTCCCAAACCTACATGCCTCCTGTGTCCTAGCCATCCCTTCCATTTTCATATTTAAGCCAGTTTTCCATTCTCATTGAGTTACCCTGACACTGTTGTCTCTAGTGTCAGAGCCATGCTAAGGCTTAACTTTCTCCGATTGGGAGTTTGCAGGGCCAAGTAGCCAGCATTGCCTTTGCTAGGCCACTGCCATCATTGCCCCAAGATATGCTGATGAATTCCAGAGACCCTTAGGGAGCCAGGATAACAGGTACTCTGTCTGGATTGGCCCATGTGGGTGACAGGCACTGGGGTTCTTGGCTTAGCAGACTAGGGAAGTCCCATGTAGAGGTTGATAGCAGCAACTCCTGTGATGGGCTGTTAGGAATCAAATTAGGATTCCTTTGGGTTGGGGTGTTTTGTTTTTTGAGGGGAGAAGGTTGGTTCATGTTTCTGCATAAGAAAAAGAAGTAACTATGGCCCCTCTGTGGTTATATAGTTTTTGAGCAGTGTTTTAGCCACCAGTCGTGAGAGTCTGACCCAGTAAGCAATCTTAAAAAATGTTTTTCCTGATTCCTTTTGCAGGTGAGTAAATGCAAAAGAATAGGTTTCTCATTGTATTCTGAATAGTAAGTAGGTCCCTGAACATAGGTAATATAGTTGACATATTTCTTAAAAACCAACCATAAAATCCACTCCAGTATTTGTAGATCAGCATACAAAGCAAAAAGTAAACATGTACTCCATTTTTTTTTTGATTACCAAATTTGATGTCACAAAGAAACCTCAGTTGTGTGGACAGAGTTTCATTTTTTCCTCTTTTATTCACAGTCACTTGCTAGTGCCATTACCACCTTCAAGGTCTCAGAGCAGAGAATTATTCACAGTAATAAATGGGGGTACAGTGCAGTCATTCCAGTAACCTGAACAAGAGGACCACTGTCCCAACTGCCCCCAAGCCCCTCTTTCAGGATAGGTGAGACATTTTCAGTGTTCTCTTCATGAGCTCCAGACCAAATCCCAGGCCAGCCCTTGCACCAAAAGGCTTTTTGGAAGGCTTATCAATCTGTTAGGAATGTTTCAGGAAAGATGAGCCATTTCTTTGGGGGGAAATATATTTACAGATGGGCGTGTGTGATTGCATGTGTGTGTGCTCATCTGTATGCATTTCACTTTCATAAAGTCTCACCACCCGGGCTGCTGGGAACCTTGTGTTCCTGGGTATTCTCAGAGGTAAAGCCATAGAGAGCTTGTAAAATCAGTGTCTCAGCAAGCTGGCTCTGGGAATGAGCCCCATTTATCAAGCAGAAGAGTAACAGCAGAGAAGATAAGAGATGAAACCAAAAATATAAACTTCCCCCCAATGGAAAATAATGTTGATTCAGCAATTCCCACTGAAGATATTACATACTCTAATTTATTATATTATTATTTGTCTGTTTCTTCAATCTTTGCCCATTGTACTCTTAAAAAGATGTTGGGATGTTGATTGCAATTTTTTTAACTAGATAATGTATAAATCAGCTGAGGAAATGAGTTTTAATTGATGTGTGAAGGTGTATGAATATTAAATGCCTTGTTTTTTTACTTTTTTTAAGTATGTAATGTTTCATAAATCCTGGCACTGGTTGCAAAGCTCAGCTGTGAAGATGAAACTTGTAGTATTTTAAACATGAATGTCAATTTCAAAATGTATTTGAAATGGTTCCTTCGAGAGATTTGTAGACCATTGGGGAAAACTCCTCTGCAGAGGAAGTAGCCTTCTTTGGAGAAAATGGAAAATGGGTCCTGATAATGTTGTCTCGGAGTGGCCCATTTTCTAGGGCACCATGGAAAACACAAATGTGATCTTTAAGTATACCTCTTTCCCAGTTTGGGGAGGAAAGGACTCAGTTTGCACCCTTTTTGTATGTAAAATAAAATGTCTTACCTTTCTTGACTACTTTTACTTGTTTGTTTGGTTCATTGATTTATCTGTTTTTAATGACCTGTAGCTCACTTCTAATTAGGAATCTTAGGCTAGGACTAAATTTGATGTGATTCAGTGCTCCCATGAACAAAAATGCCAGATACGTAGGCATTCTTGCTTCTTTCTCTTGGGTTGAACATTACCCTGTGAGTCACTTCAAAAACAAGTATTCCTAGAACTTAAAGAAATTCTTACTCAGCTAAGTTCCTGTATCCTGTGGTTCTCAGATGGTAGAACACCCAGAAGTCAGGTTTTACTTTGTAACAATTTTTGGAAGTTTTAGAATTCTGCACTATCAATGAGGAACATGTGTTTAGACAGAAGATATCCATTGTGCAATGTAAAAGAACATGCATACATGGCAAACAAACTGCCTATTAATGTGATTTATTTTTTCAGTGGTAGGCAAGTAGCAGAAAATACGTATAAAATTATGAGGGAAGCTTCATGGTAAGGGCATTTTTTCCATCAACTTGATTTCTTTTTTCTTTTGAAAAGGGGTGGGGGAGAGACTGCTTTTATGCCACTTTAGCCTTAGCTCCTAATGTACAAGACACCACTTTGAACACATGGTTTAGTAAACCTTTTCTCAGTGGCTATAGGTAGGGTTAGACCTAGGAATGGGGAAATAGACAAACCTTCATTCCACACACAAAGACAGGGGTGGGAAGGTGAATTTGGAAGATCGTTGTCAGTATTAACAATTTTATCTTGAACAACCTCCACCGGATTGAGGTGGTCTGGACTGAGGTGCAAGGAAATAGCAAACATCATTTATGTTTATAAAGAGAACAGTCTTGAAGTTCTACAACCTGACTACAGTGACATCAGTTGTAAGGAAAGGACAAGTTAAGGAATTCGGGTGGCCATGCATAATTCAATCAAGTCAGTACTTCAGGCCAAATTGCATAATTCATTTATGGAAGTGGAGCCATGCCTACAATCTGGATGATGACAAACTAGAATTTCTAAAAAGTTAATACCATAGGTTCAAATTTTAGAAAGATACGTGTCTGTTCTATTTTTCTAGGTATATAAGACTTAAAAACAACTTATGTTGTAGATTGGAACAACACCAAGCTTCTTTTACAACCTTGAATATTCCAGAGGGCGCATCTAATGACTGTGACCTTCATGAAGGCCTCTGAAAAAGTAAAGACGTCTCTCTCAGGCCTTTGCATATATTTCCCACCTCGATGCTAATATGAAGCTACCCCAACCATCAGTTTGAGCACCAGCAATAAGGAAGCTGAATACGATGTATCCAGTGCAATACAGTCCGTTACAACATTGGAGGGGGGGAAGCATGCAAAGAAAAGTTAAGAACCAGAGTACAGTGGAGTGTGCATTGACTCATACAGCARTAAGTGCAGAACTAAAGAAGGAAGAGAAAAAGGGCAGAGTAAAGTGACACACTCCAAGTAAAATCGGAAGTAGGTTTTGAAGCAAGTTTTACAAGACAAGTAGAAGCTGYAGAAGATGACAGTGTGAGAATAAATGTGCCCTGGGTTTTTGGAAGCTACCACATCGAAAACCAACTTGGTAGCGCCCGACGCTCTGCCGACCCGCACGGACCGTGAGCGTCCTCCGTCCCGGCCCAGGCCACCGTCTTCCGGGCACTGCACTCCGCCGCTACACGCTCGGCATGCCGGGGCCTGTAGTCTCTTCGGACACCAATCCCCGCCTCTCTCGGCATCACCTTCCGCCCACCGCCTTCCAGCAGCTAGGGGGACGAGCTGGGAACCCAATGAGGGAGCAATAACGTGGCAGCCACCCACAAGCCCGCGTCCTCGCCGGCCCGCCGGCCCCGCCCCCCGGGGGACTTACTACCTGGCGCCGAGGCGGAGGGGGGAAGCGGCGCCCGCCCCTGGCTCAGAGGCTGCGAGCAGCCCCGGGCCCCCCCGCTCCGTGGCCGCGCCGGCCCACGCCGCCGCGTCCCCACCCTCTTCCGGCCCTGGCTGCCCGGGCCGCGTTCGCTCCTGCCGGTGGATGCTGCGCCTCTCGGAGCGGAACATGAAGGTGCTCTTCGCCGCCGCCCTCATCGTGGGCTCTGTCTTCTTCCTGCTGCTGCCAGGACCCTCTGTGGCGGATGAGAAGAAGAAGGGGCCTAAAGTCACCGTCAAGGTCCGTGCGCGCCTCTCCCGCCCTGCCTGGCGCGGCCTGCGCTCCACCGCCTGGGATCCCGTCGCTGGCCAGTGGTTCCCGGAGCATTTAAGGCCCGGGAGTTCGACCCTTGGCTTCTAGTGTCTTTGTCCTTATGGCGTCTGTGCCATCCAGACCAAAGAATGATCCGGACCCTCCCTAAATCCCCAACCCCACCCTGACCCGTGGAGTTAACTGGAGCCGGGGATGCCCAGCTGCTGCCGCCACTGGAGCAGTCCTTTTGCAAATAACCTTGCGGTGCTGGAGAAATGGTGAAAGATCAAATCCGTCGAATCCTTTCTCCCTGTAAAATTTTAGCCACTACAAAACACAGAGAAATTACAGCTTAAATTTGCATGGTAAACTTGCAAGCCCCTTATGTGGCTTTCTTCTTTTTTATGTGAATATCTAGAATCTGGGCCCATTGTTTATTTAGAGTAAAGGTTGGAGAGCATGGGGCGTGCAAACAAACACATTTTTCAAGAAGAGGGTTTGGAACTTCACAGGGTTTTGCCTCCACTGCTTTAAATAACTGCCCTCTCCCGTCCTCAGAGGAGCTTCTTGGGCCCTCCCTTCCCAACTAAGGTCCTTTAAAGGGGCTAAATTTAAAATGGTTCTTTTTCTTAGGTATATTTTGACCTTAGAATTGGAGATGAAGATGTAGGCCGGGTGGTCTTCGGTCTTTTCGGAAAGACTGTTCCAAAAACAGTGGATAATTTTGTGGCCTTAGCCACGGGAGAGGTAAGTGGCTGGTGCAGATACTGTCAACTCTTGCAGTAGGAATGGCAGCAGAATGCAGCCCATTTGTAGCAGTAGCCCTCTCTGAGGGCCAGTTGACTATGGCCATGGGAACCTAGTATTGTTATTTTTTTTTCTCCCAGTACTGGGGATTGAACCCAGGAGTGGGCCACAGGAGTTATATTCCCAGGCCTCTTAAATTTTATTTTGAGATTGCGGGGGCGGTCTCATTAGGTTGCACAGGCTGTCCTCAAACTGTGTTTCTACAGCCTCCCAAGTTGCTGATAGTCACAGGCATGTGCCACCATATCCTACTATAGGAGGTTTGTTTTTTGTTTTCATTTTTTTTTTTTTACAATACCAGGAATTGAACCCAGGGCCTGGCAAGTGCTCTACCCACTGAGCTACATCCTTTGTCCTCCTATTGCTGTATCTGTATCATAAGAATAAGGAATATTTTATCCTGGAATACTGCACAGTGTTTGAAGGCACAACCCCTTTAATGAAGTTTGTATTTCAACTTTGAGTTCAACTAGCAGATAACTTTTTTCCTTGGTCTCTGTTTCCTTTTATCTGATCTTGTGGTTAGAAGAAAAGAGGGGATAGGCATTCTATGAAATAGAATTGTATCAAGTCTGGCAATTGTACAAAGGCAGAGGCAGGTGGAGTCTTGGAAGTTACTGGGTCTGGCCAGCAGTTACTACTCACTCAGTAGCATGTTGAATGATGAATGTGGCCAATAATGGGGCCACTTCTGTGAGCAAGAATTGTGGGCTGGGTTCTTGCAGGGCTTATTTAATGTCTGCCTATATGATGTCTCATATCATCTCTTTGCTTTCTCATTCCTTTTTTAGAAAGGATTTGGATACAAAAACAGCAAATTCCATCGTGTGATCAAGGACTTCATGATCCAGGGTGGAGACTTCACGAGGGGAGATGGCACAGGAGGTAACCTCAAGTCTTCTGGGAAGAGGGATCTGTCAAGTTTAGTTTCCCAGGTAGAAGGGTCAGGCTGTGCCAGACAAATAGGGTCCCTTCCTTCCCTAGCTCCAGGAGCAGGCCACTTAACTTGCATTGAGAACAGCTGCATCCTCTGCAAAGTGGACCAGTACAAAGGAGACAGAGTGATGGGGGTTAGGTGGGCCTAAGAGGATCTTTTCCCTGTGCATACCTGCTGATACAGGCCTGTAGCCTGGTGACTTTTCTCCCCACCACGCCTCTATACTTTTGGAGTGGGGTAAGGAGGTGGCAGCAAAACGAAGACTTGTGGGGAGCATTTCCAGATCAGGTATGTACCACCTTGGAAGCCCCAGCAAGGGTGAGAGGTGTTCTTTCCTTTGTGCTTTCCCACCAGAGACCTCTGCATTACCTGTTTGCACAGGACAGAAAGACAGATACCCTGGACTAACCCATGGGTCTTACTGTGCTTGGGGGCCCATCCAGCTGTTCCCTCAGACCGCAGGGAAAGGGCTGAAGACATGAAGATCAGCAGGACATCAGCTCCTTTTTGTACCTGAAAATTCCCAAGTGGGACATATACAGCATTTAGAACTCAGACTCTGTCCTCAACTTTGTTTGTCATAGTCTTTCTAGAAGAAACTCTGAAAGCTACATAGCAACATAAGATTTAAGTAGGGTTCCATTGTTTCTCCTGGAACCATCTTTGAAACTAGGGTCTCAGAAGTGGTATATAGACTGCGGATCCGGTCCCTTTGTCATGTACCTGGCCCCAACCCCCATATGGACAGACACATGACACATATTCATAATTCATAAGCATCTTTTATTTTATGCTCATTTCGTTGATAAGGAATTCTTTACTCTGCAGAACTCAAATGGCAGCCCTATCTTTTGCCTGCCCTGGTTCCCTCCACACTCATCTCTGTCCTGTTTCTACTTTGCAACTATGTCTTTCCTGTCTTTTTTATTCTTAGGAAGACAAGTTGGTCAGCCGCAACAGTCTTTTTCTAGAAAGTTCTGTCCACCAAAGGCTGTCCATGCAGGCCTGAGGTTACAGCCAAGGGTAGCTAATAATATGTGCCTTAGTTAAAAGCGTTAAAACAATCCTTAGTGTACGCTGGTCACTATATCAGCCTGTCCTGATGCCTTGTTTGCTTTCAGTCTGCACGGTTTGGCTCTAGGCTAAAGGATAGGAAGGGGTCAGCTTTTATGTCTTTATGTACCTCTCTAGCCTGGACTGGTACAGAGGACTGGTTATACCCCTCAAATYCTCACCCGAAAGGTCTGCCTGGTTTAGGCCAACCCAGATCCCCCCATCTTCTTTTCTTTTCTCAGGAAAGAGCATCTATGGTGAGCGCTTCCCCGATGAAAACTTCAAGCTGAAACATTATGGGCCTGGCTGGGTGAGCATGGCCAACGCCGGTAAAGACACCAACGGCTCCCAGTTCTTCATTACTACAGTCAAGACCGCCTGGCTAGATGGCAAACATGTAGTGTTTGGCAAAGTTTTAGAGGGCATGGTAAGTTCTGGAGGCAGGGGCTAAACCTGGACAGTTCTCACCAGGGATTCAGCCCAAACCCTGGGGCAGAGGCTCCATGAATTTTATCTATTCACAAAAGACCCAACGCCGCAGATTCAGACCAGTGCTCGTGTCTGGAGAGAACATTCAAAAATAGGTAGCCTGGCCAGGCACCATGGTGCACWCCTATAATTCCAGCTACTCAGAAGGCTGAGGCAGGAGGATCATGAGTTCAAAGCCAGCCTCAGCAACTTAGTGAGGTCCTAAGCAACTTAGCAAGACCCTGTCTCTAAATAAAACATAAAAATGGCCTTGGGATGTGGCTTGGTGGTTATGCACCCCTGAATTCAATCCCTAGAGCCCATAATTAAATAAACAAATAAATAAAAAAGATAAAACAGCCTGGCTGGGTGCTGGAGCACATAACTACAGTCCAGCTACTTGGGAGGCTGAGAAGAGAAGATCACTGAGGCCAGCCTAGGCAACATAGCAAGACTCCATTTCAACCAAAAAGAAGAGCACCTCTATCCCCCCACCGTTCTAAATCCCTCTAGGCCCTAGACAGGAGGCCTTGTAGAAGCTACTCAACTGCAGGATCACCCATTCCATCACTCAGGCAAGGTTGTGCAGACTCCCATCCTGAACTGTATAGGGTACAGCTGAACATGGTGTCCCTGAGGAGTTACTTGGTACCTTGCTCCCTGGCCACTCCCTTCTTCCTCCTTATCCTTTGCCCAATATGGTCCTGAACAAAACTCTTGCATCCACTCATTGTCAAATCTATTCTTCCCACCCTGGCCTGGCACCCCAGCCATATATTCAGTAGAATTTTGGTGCCTCCATGTTTATATGCTGTTGATCCCATATGGGTCTCAGCCCTCCTGAGGCCTGTTGCCCATTGGTAGACCTCATGACTCTCCTGCCCTACTGTTACCACCTTTCTTTTTCAGGAGGTGGTGCGGAAGGTAGAGAGCACCAAGACAGACAGTCGGGACAAGCCCCTGAAAGATGTGATCATTGCAGACTGTGGCAAGATCGAGGTAGAGAAGCCCTTTGCCATCGCCAAGGAGTAGGGCCCCAGGGACCATATCCCTCTGAGCAACCCCCTGTGCAGGCCCTGTTGCCCTCACTAGGGAAAAGGTAGCCCGTCACAGGGCTCCATGCTGCACTGGCCCTAGGGCCAGCATCTGATGGAGCGGACCCACTCCCCTCACATTCCACAGGCCCAATTTTGTAAAAACTCAATGCTGACCAATTAAAAAAAGTGGGTTTTTTTGTTGTTGTTGTTTTTATAATCTGCGTGTGGGCTGGCTTCTTGAACCTGTAATACATTCCCCAAGTGTGCATCCCAACATGTCGAGGATCTCTTGTAGCTGTAAGGTGCTTCCTTCCTCAGGCTCCTGCCTGAACCTGTATCTAGATACTACCCATAAAATACTGGCTTCTGAACTTTGCAGATCTATGTCTCAGCCTTTACTACCCYTGCCATCTTCTGGTCTAGGTTAAGAAATACAGCTACAACTGTACCTTCTCAGTCTACTCCAAATTGACTCCTCTCTTTATTCCTCAACTCCATGGCCTTGCCTTGGCCCCTAGGCTCTAAGAGCACCTGAATTCTACCACCCCAGCTGCCAGTGCAAGCTGAGTTTAGAGTAGTTAAGTCCTAGGTCTAGTCCAAAGGAGGACCTAGCCCTAGTTGCTTATATGAAATTCAGGACAGGCACATGACTCCTGACAGGTGGCTCAAAGGCTTCTGGGCTGATCAAGGCATAGGTGGCAGAGGAGCTGGGTAACAGTCCAGTGTTGCCTGGGCTGATGCTGGGCTGGTACTGAATCCATAGAGGCCCTGGAGCACACCATTCACCACCACATCTGGCAGAAGCTCTAGGATAAAAATAAAATGGTGGAGGGTGGGGAGTGGTGTGAGACGGGCCGTCCTCAGGTCTTGTAGGCTTCTTAAGGTTTTTCTTTTTTTTTTTTTTTGTCACAGCCTCTGCCACTCTTGGGAATAGAGCCCTTGCCAAGGTGGCAGATATCAGCTGTCCACCCAAATGAGGCATTGGCATTCCCTGGCCACAGTCTGTTTATACCACACATCAGCTTGGTAAAACCAGGCCACTGGGGAATGCAGACTTAGGGAGCTAAGCTTATTTCACTGGTGTCTGCAAAGCAGGCTACAGGGTTAGAGGAGCAGCAGGTAGTGGCTCCAAAGAGATATCTGAGGGAGGTGCTGCCTGGAGGTCCCAGGAGCAGAGAAATAGTAGGCCCACACCCACCTGGCCCTGGTTCCCAAGCCCTAAATGCACACCATGGGTCAGGCACCTCCTAACCTGGAGAAGGAGTGGAAATGTATGGATCCATGCAAAAGCTGATGACAGGCCGGTGGTGCAGCTGTGAGCTGGGAAGAAAGGGTCATGAGCTGTGGGGGCTGGAGAGAAGGCAGGGCAAAATCCCATATGAAGTGGAGACTAAGGACTGAGATCACCAAAGACCCACAAAGGAAAAGGTGAGTAGGAAGTGGATTTGGGAGGCATCAGCAGGGAAAACTTGGACCACAGAGACAGGACTGGCCCCAGGCTGCAGGCCCACCTCCTACTATGCAGCCACCAGGGGGCAGCAGGAGGTAGGCAGGTCAGGGCTTTGACTTGCCTGCTGTCCCTAAGCAGGAATTCCCCCAGGGTGCTGAAAAGAAGAGAGATACTGTAAGCTGCCTGGGGATGGCTGGGAGGTGAGGGTTGGGTGGAGACAGCCCAGAACTTCAGTCCCCGGGGACCACTGCTTCTATTTGTAACAAGCCAGTTCCGGAGGTAGAGGTAGCTGGTGTAACGAAAGCTGTCCAAAAAACAGCCCCTCCACCAGGGTCAAGAAAGCTGCTAAAGGAGGTCATGTCTCCCAGAGAACCAGGCAAGCCAGAGCCTGGAAGATGTGAGAAGAAAGAGGGCTAACCCTGAAAAACTTTCCTCACCTGCTTGCTGCCAAGAGTCCCTGCCCTCCCTGAACACTGGCCCTCCTTACCCCCAGCTACTGGTCTTGGGGTCAGTGGGGAAGTGGYGGAGTCTCAGGAATTCCAGTAACTCCTTGGGCACATCCTGGTTCAGGTACAGGATGCCCTAGAAAGGAGGACAGAGGAAACCATAATTAGACCCAGCTACTAATTTACACAGCCCAGTGCAAATGAAAATGTGAGAAACTTAGTTCCAAGTAAGAAGTTCAAGGCGGTGAGAGCAGAACAAGACTCTTTTGAGTGCTGGGCCCTGTATGATTGCACAGGTTAGGGCCCAGAAAAGGTCCAGCCTGCAGTCACACATCACTGTTGTGGGCAAGAACCTCCACTGGTATTGCACCATAAGGGTGCCTCAAAATTTACCCTGGAAAGGAAGGGAACTAGCTTTCATTGAGTTGGGACTACCTGCCCTCTGCTTGCCTCATCAATCCTTTCAACAATCCAGTGAGGGATATTGGAACTCACGACTGTTCAGAAAATTGAGGCTGGGGTAGTGAACAACCCCCAAATTGTGASAGCCCTCCCATATCACTGCTTTCTATCTGGGTCACACCCCTTGTCCAGCAGGCTGGAGGCAAAAGAATATGCCCCTCGCACACCTGGATATAGGCCTCCAAGCCCTGCCGGCGCTGTTCCAATCCTCTGGTCCTCCAGTTGGGCAGGCGTTTCGATGGGAAGTCAGGCACTTTGTACAGTTTCTTGATCTGCCGGGAGGTTACAGAGGCGCCATCACGTATTCCAACAGAGCCCCTTAAACCCACTTGAGCCTAGAAAAAAGTCCTCTCTGGACCCCTCTCCAGGCCCTACCCTAGTGAGTGGTGATTGGGACAGGGGTGAGGGTCGCCTGTAAGCGGGGTGGGCACACAGGGATAAGGTCAGTGTGAGCTGGAATCGGCCCCTTTGCGCCCTCTCCACACGGGACCTTGCAGCCAGTGGGCAGTCTGTCTAGAATCTGCGGCCTTCAGATGCTCGGGTAGTAATGGGGATGGCTGAGGCTGGGACTAGAGCTCTTCAGCCTTCCACCCAGGGGTTAGACCGGGATCAGTCGATTGTCTGCGCCGCCTCACCCGTTTGTGCAGTGCATGGAACTCGCTGTAGCGCCTTGGCACCGTGTGTCTGCGCCCGCTGCACAGCACCTCCACTCGGAACACCTAGCGGGGAGAGGTGCGCATGAGGCTCCTCGGCAGGATGCTGCGAGGCCAGCTCTCAGCGACGCCCTCACCCTCCCGCGCTCAAAGGCACAAAGCGAACTTGGAGCGCAGACGCTCTCTGGGTAATCTCCTGCTCCGCCAAACACCCAGGAGAAAAAGCTGGCAGACCCTCCCCTCTGCTCCACGCGTTCCCCCAAGAGCGCAAGCCACCACCCGGAGGCCGGCTAATCCAAGCAGTTCCAAAACCCTCGAGTCGGGGTATCCCGGGACTGTGATGGGAACCCGACCTGGAACTATAGGTCCCTATTGCTCTGGGCGTAGAGAAATTCGGCGGATCCCTGCGCCCCTTTCCAACTAGTGGTTCTGCTCACCATGTGTCCTTTCTCTGGGCTCTGCCTGGGCCCCTCGGCCTCGGGCCCCACCGACGGGATGCGAACTTCCAGCATCCGCGCCCGGGCATCGGCTGCGTCCCCTCCTCAAGTACTGCTCCGAGCGCGATCCCCAGGGGTAGCCACCCGCGGACCCTGCGCGGCCGCCCCGCCCTTCGAGCCCTCAGGCCCCGCCCCAGACCCAGCCCGGGGCGTCCCCAGCGCAGCGCGGTCCTGTGCCGACAAGATTAGGCAGGGCTCGGGCTGGAGGTAGCCGAACGCCGCCCCTTCGGTATGGAGGGGCCACAGCACAGGGGGAGGAACCCTCAGCAGAGAGTCATCGGTTTGTCAAATATTTACTGAACGCCCGACTGCCAGGTACGCGGGCAAGCCAAAATTTCACCTGTTCTTTGTTGAGCGTCTACTAAGGACTCCAGTCTGTGGCGCCTGGCTTGGGCGGAGGCGTCTGCCCAGCGGACGATCCCCGGAGGTTCCTTGCTTTCCTCAGACCCTTCCCCTGGACCAGGCCGCCCTGTCTCCTTCCCTCCTTTCAGCCTGACCTTTGGGAGCACGGGAGACTCCAGCTGAGACCATGCCTGGGTAAGRCGTGGGTCAGTACAGCTTTGTCATCCCCTTTCCCCAGAATCCACAGGCCCCTTAATTCATTTTTTTCTTCCATCCCTCCATTCATATTTTTCAACCTTAACCTGTTCTAGGGACATTTTACAGGGAAGAGGTAATTTAGGAACCCAGGCTCTACTCTGGAGATCAGTCAGAATGGTATCAGAAACTGCGTAGACCTTGAGCTGGGGATGTGGCTCAAGCTGTAGTGCGCTCGCCTGGCATACGTGTGACCCTGGTTCGATCCTCACCACCACATACAAAGACGTTGTGTCCGCCGAAAACTAAAAAATAAATATTAAAATTTTCTCTCTGTGTAGACCTTTGCTTACGTGCAAAATAGAAATAATATGCCTCCCAGGGGATGTAGCTCAGTGGTAGAGAGCTGGCCAGTATATGTGATTCCCATGTGCCACCAAAAAAAAAAAAAAAAGAAAAAGAAAAAAAGAAAAGAAAAAAGAAAAACCACACCTCCTTCAGTGTATAAGTGAATAACAATTGAGCAAAACCAGGTGCACACCTATAGACAGACCCAGTTACTTAGGAGGCTGAGGCTGAGACTGGAGGATGGCTGGAGAGCAGGAATTAAAGGCCAGCCTGGGCAACATAGGGAGACCCTCTCAAATAAATGAGATGATGACCCATGTTAAGCCCTTAACACAGCAGATGTCTGGTAAACCGCAGCTTGATTGTAGGCTTGCCCTGGAGAGAGGTTGGGTGATGAATAAGAGAGGTAGGCAAAGGCAGTGAACAGGAAAGGACTGTGGTAGGTGGCACCAGGCTGCCCTTGCCTACCTTTCTCAGTAGGGTCAACTGGGAATGTGGAAATATTTAAATAGAACTTTTTCCACCCAATATGCTGAAAGGGCCTCTGCTCCCATCTCTTTACCACACCACTCAATAGCAGAGCTGCTTCCACTCAGTAGCTCCATAACAGGAACCCTCTATCTCACTGACTTCCCCTGACAAAGGAACCTGAGGTGAAGATGCGATACCCTTCCCCTCAAGAGCTTGCACCTACCACCTGGTAGGAGGCCTGRTGGAAAGGGGAAGACAGAGTGCCTTTGATGGACTCACCTCTCTCCTTCAGAGCGGGAGCAGAACATATGCATTCCCAGCCCAGCCCCAGAGAGGGGCTTAGAGGATGACCCCCTAATGGGGGCAGGTATGTCTCATGTGTCCCACATACTCTCCTTCCAAATTCCATCACACCGGGGCCCCAGAATCAGGAAGCTGAAACTTCCTGCATCCTGGTATGGTCCCCTGGAAGGGAAATGACCGACACTGAGGAGAAGTGGTGTGGTTTCATTTCCTCCCTGGCATTCTAGGGCCCCAGCTCCTCCTTGACCTTCAGGGCCTACCAGTGCCTCTGTTCAGGACACCATCCTAATGACCATTTGCCCTCTGTCTCTGGATCTCCCTGCTTTTCCTTGCCTCCCTCCCCAGTCAATATAAGGTTTATTCTCTATCCTTCTACACAAACTATTAAAGCCAGGCTTTAGCCATGGTGACCTTCCTCTAGTTCTTCAAACCTGACAAGTTCTTTTCTTGCCTCCGGGACTTTGTCTTTGTTTTTCCTATCCCTGGAATACTCTTCCTTGACTTTTAGCCTGGTGGACTCATCTTCTAATTCTGAGCATAAGCTTACCTCCTCAAAGAGGCTTCCTTCCTGACCTCATCATATCACTTGGTTCATGCACATATTAAGTCTGTAATTATTGTTTATTATATGTTTATTATATGTCTCCACAGTGCGAAGCATTTAGCATAGGTCTTTGGTAGGTAGAATGGTGGGATAATTTTCCTCACTCATCATAAGGTTCACATGGACATTCCTGTAACAAAAGACAGGTTAATAAGAGAAAAGCATAGCAAAATTTATTTAATTAAAGTTTTATGTGATATGGGACCCTTTCAAAATGAAGTCCCAGAGACCCAGGGGCCTTCATTTCAAGGTTCATGCTTAAGTCTGATGAAGCATGAATAGTSACATAGAAACATTTTTGGACAAAAAGGGTACAATGGATTAAGTGGGAAGTCCAGCATGGCCTGTCCAGATTCTTCTCAGCCTCTGTGCATCATCATTCGTTTCTCCTGGATGTGGGGCAAGATTCCTCTGGAATAAGGGTGTTCAAGGGAGAAGGGAAAGGGTAAATAACCTTTCTAGGTTTATGGTTTACTTTAGGGGAATAGGGTTCTGTATTTTTGTTTTTGATATGAGGGATTGGACCCAGGGCACTCTACCACTGAACTACATCCTCAGCCCTTGTTTTTTTTTTTTTTTTTTTTTTTTTAATTTCGAGATCGGGTTTCCTAGGTTGTCCAGACTGGACTTAAATTTGTGATCTTCTTGCCTCAGCTGCTCAAGTAAATTGGGATTCTAAGTGTGTACCACTACACCTTATGTGATTCTAGTTTCTGTGACCCATTTTGGAGAAGAGAAATTCTGATTTCTGTAGCTCACTTCAGGGAAGAAAGTAAGGGCAGGAGGTCAGAGAGACCTTGCTCTTAGGCCCTTCCAGTCTTTTTATTTTATTAATTAATTAATTTTTGGTGTTGGGATGGAACCCTTGCACATGCTAARCACACACTACCACTGAGCTACATCCCCAGCCCCCAAGTCCTTTATTTCAAAATATTTAGCACCTGCCATACCTTGGAGTTTCATGTTCTGAGCCCTGATATACTAAAAACAAAAAATTGTTGATTGAAAGAGTATATGAATGAGAATATGTAAGAATGAATCTATTATGTATAATTATAAAGCGCCAATAAAATTTTTTAAAAAATAAAATAAAAAGGCTAAATGGTGGTGGTGGGGAGGTAGAGCAAAGGCTGGGGAGGGGAGAGAAGGCCTGGGAGAGAGGTGCAGAGGGGATAGAGATTGCTGAAGGGCTAGAAGGTCTGCTGCAAGGGGATTACAAGAACTCTTTTTCCATCTTAGGGYTAGACATCCATCTCTTCCTCTCTCTTTTGGTGGACTGGTGTTCATTTTATTCATTTGACTTAATTTCCAGATGTTCCTGAGAAGCTTCAGTGGCTTTTCATTGAGATTCATTAGAAATGACTTGAAAACATCTGTAGTAAACATGCAGGTCCCTAATTCTACAGTGTCCTGTGGTGCAAAGGTGCAGGTCCAAATAAGGAGAAACAAGATCCTGGACCTGGAGGTATTATTTACAGTGTCTTTGAGGAGATAGAACAAGTTATGGGCAATATTGACCTATAAAGAGCAACACATGGCATGATATAAATTCCAAAGCAGTTATTACAATCAGAGGAAGAGTTTATTTTCTGTATACTTTAAGCATTGGTCAGCGTGGCAAATGAACACTGTTAAATTCCAGGCTTATATGATGGGTGTAGAGACCTCAAAGTGACTTCTATTTTTAGAATGAGTTGTTTTACTATAGAATCTCTGTCTTTTCTCCATCACTGTCTAGTATATGAATTTAATTTCTAAATTGCTGAGTGAAAATTGCCTAAAAGTATTAATTGATCACATTTTCTTGATCTAGATTATACAGCAATAGTTTTCAAAGTCAGTATTATTCCCTAGAGGTCCTAAAATCTCAGATTTTAGGGCCCTGACCCCATATTTTCTTTTTTTGGGGGGGTACCAGGGATTGAACTGGGGGACTCAAGCACTGAGCCACATCCCCAGCTCTATTTTGTATTTTATTTAGAGACAGGGTCTCACTGAGTTGCTAAGTGCCTCGCTGTTGCTGAGGCTAACTTTGCAATCAGAAAATATGGGGTTGTGCCGGGTGTGGTGGCACATGCCTGTAATCCCAGCGGCTGGGAGGCTGAGACAGGAGGATTGGGTTTAGAGCCCTACGTGGTGCCTAATCATGGACATTTTTAACAGTTCCCTGGGGATGCCCCGTGTGTTCCTGGGGACCATGTAGTAGATATCGGACTCCCACACCAGCCCCTCAAGGGACTGTGCTACACTGGCTGCTTGACAGTATCATGGTTTGAGCAAAAGGCAGGACATGCTGAGGTGAAGATGTTCCCCAACACAGCCCTGCTCCTGTGGTGGTCCTGTGGGTTGGCTGGCCTGCGCTTCTGTCATGCCTTGGCTGGGCCCTCACCCTCCACCATTGCTAACAAAACCACTGCACACAAAACCCCCTTTCACCCACAGCTCCAAGGCTGCTCAGGAGGTTTGGTTAACCCATTAAGAAAACAAATAGCTCCTGGGCAGGGCAGGCAAGAGGGTGCTGCTAGACACAGAGGCTGGATTCTTCTCTGGGAGTGGGTGGGTGAGCCAGAGGGAGGGGCCAACCATGTGAGGCTGCCTGAGCAAGGGTAGGCCTTGCCTGCCCCACCCAAGTCCTGCTCTAGTCACTTGTGTAATCTTGGAGAGCCCCCCTGAACCTGAGTCCTTATCTGTACAATGGAGAGTTGTGTGTGTGGGCGGGGGGTTGTGTGTGGGTTAAATGACATCATGCTTC